GAGCTCCGTACTGTCCATGGTCCTAGTTTCTTTACTTTGTTTACTTGCCCCACTCGGTAGCCATAACCAATGTCACGTATCTACAAGAAAAAATTGAACACCAAAAAGAATAATTTGAATGAGTTTTGAAGAACAATCGGGCTTCGTAAAATGCTTTCAACCTTTGTTATAAAATTACCTAGTTATACTACGTAAGCAATGGGGCTATCAAAGATTGATTCACCAGCGGAATGCGAGCAAATGTATGAGTATGTAACCGGAATAAATAAGGATGTAGAGGGCAAGGTTTAGAAACTTTTTTTCTAACATGTGTGCTCCTGTTAGTCATTGCGTGAATAAAAGACCCAACTTTCTTGTTGAAATCGGAAATATACATCTCCCTTTCCCGACGTTCTCTGCAACAGATTGAATTAACAAACAACATGAACGTGACCCTCAACTTTGAAAGCCGCGATCGAATAGTAAACAGACTGGAGGTTGTGGACAATAGGGCGGCGTCCTCCCAACCGCTGTTGTTCTGACGTATGTCTGTCACATAAAAATTTGAAAAGTAGCATGGTAATTTCATTGGGGACTATCTTGATAGATAACTGATATCTTTTGTACGTGTGCTTAATTCAATTTCAATTACAGTCGCTCATCTTCCCTCACCATATATATACTATCAAACAACAACTACAACTTCCTTGCTTAAAGGAGTCTATGCGGTCATATACAAAGTGAACAAAACTATGCAACTTACAAAATTAACTCTCAAATTGAAGTTTAACACTGAACGCCACAAGTGTAAAGCATGCCTACTCAAATCCGGGCAGGTGATTAGGACGTAGTTTCTTTTTACAATGCACATTGCAGTATATTCTACCTTTGCACGCATATGACAAACATCAGGCATAAAACACAATTCGCGAATCTCAACACCAACCTTCCAAGTTATAATTCGCTTATAATCAATGCGTTGCAGACCCATTAGTACGTGAGAGTACAAGCGCTTGGCTTCCATTACGTTAAGGTCGAATAAAACAAATCTGGTGAGCTGTCCGATAATCTTGTGAGTATTATGATTTAATTTCACCTCCATTCGCACCGGCTCGATTGCGAGCTCATCTAAATGATTGCTATTATCAGGGATCCTACGATGTTCATGTCATGCTTCATTTGTTCAAGATAAAGAATGAATTCAGAAAAAAAGTTCAAATCAAACCCGGAATGCATCGCCATTTCAAACTGTCTTGTGGAAGCTCTAACACCTAAAGCTTTACATATAGATGTTATCATTGGACAATTCGGAATCGGTTGTTGATGTGTGAATTTGAGGTCAACAGTTTATGTTTTAAAACAAATCAGTGAACTGATGACTGAGCTTACAATTGCCATTAATTTGGTGTACTGGGTTTTATGTTCAAAGAAATTCGAAAGGAGGAAACCGACTCAGTTCAGCGTGATCCATCTTCTCGTCCAATAATCACCGTACCTTGAAGGCAACATGAAGTGAAGCAAGTTAAATAAGTTCAATCGTCCACTGTGTCTCACGCTGTATCTCCCAAATTAGAACATAACTATCCCTATGAATAACACTGTCCAATCCTCTTATTGCCGGACGATTCTCTTAATCAAAAACCGTTTTTCGCGATACCTCGTTTTTCAGGGCGATACATATTCAGTCTATAAGTTATCCAGAATGGAATGATACTAGACAAACTCATAAGTGATATATTAATATTTGTAAGTAATACTAATTAAATAAGTAACATAGCAGTATACAATAAAAGGAATTCAGTATCCGAAGCTGAAATAATTAACCAGAGGGAAATGGAGCGCTGGTGAGCTTGATTATGTGATCATTGCTATTCTTCACGTAAGTTTACCTAGTTGAACGGTGATTGAATATACCACAGGTTGTAAACAAAATACGAGACGGTTACCGATGTAGTTTTAGGTAAACAAGTTAGTATTTCGCAACGTTTATGCACAATTATGACTTGGTCTGTATAAGTTCGTGTACATATATTATAATCAGTAATGTGATAACAGAAAGAAATGTCAAATGCTTATCGGACGCTGTTGGAAGGCTCTGATTTGGATCAAAGCGTGCTTTTTCGTTTCATGATGTTAGTGGATCATCGACTATGACTAAATGACGATTTGTGTTAAGTACACAACAACTTAAACCTAAGGTGAAAGACACTGGGCAAAGCACTTGCCCCTTTGACTTGGAGGAGTCTAACCAGCGGTGTCAACCCATCGATAATTTGAAAAATAACCGGGAAACTCCAAACATATAGCGCGAGCATGTTACTCAATTGTGCTGGAGCTGTTGAAGTATTTACTGCTTCAGAAAATTGTTTCCTAGCTGAAAGTGCAGGATACAAACAAAACCGCTATTGTCACTTTTGCGCTACACCGGAAACCACTGGTTACCTTTTTCAGTACATTCTGTTGAAACGCAAATAAACCAAGGCAGAGGGAATAATTGTTTTCTTAGATAACACTGANTAACACTGAACACTTCAATGGTGCTAAGACGTCAACGCTCATGGTGAATATGTCTTGTGAAAGTAACACCATAAATTTCACTGGCCATGCTCAAAGAGTGTTCCACGATTTTTCACATTTTGCAGAATAACGTGCACGCCCAGAATGTTCCGCATTATGTACACTAGGTATGCTTTAGAGTTCCATCTTTTCCCCGTCCCATAGTTTACCAAATTTCCTCTATGAATACTTACATAGGGAATG